GGCTGTCCCTGGACCAACTGCTGGGGGGCACGGACCTGGTGATCCATGGGTCGACGGTCGCAACGAACACGCTGGTGGAACGGAAGGGGCCAGGGTGGGGCTCATCACCACCGACGGTTTCCGTGACCTGCTGGAAATGCGCGAGGGACTGAAAGAGGACCGGTACAACCTGAGGATGACTCCCGCCGAGCCGCTGTCGGCCCGTTACCTCCGGGTGGGCGTCCCGGAGCGAATTCGAGCGAGCGGCAATGTGGAGCGGCCTTTGGACGAGGGCGCACTGGTCGAAAGCCTTGAGTACCTGATACAGGAGGGTGCAGAGGCGCTGGCGGTGTGTTTCCTGTTCTCATACCTCAACCCCTCCCACGAGCAACAGGCTGCGGAAATCATACGCCGCCGCTTTCCCGACGTGTACACATCCCTCTCCCATGAGGTGATTCCGCAGATCAAGGAGTTCGACCGCCTGAGCACGACGGTGATCAACTCCTACGTCGGGCCAGTATTCAGCCGCTACCTCTCGCACCTGGGTGAGCGGTTCGAGGCATACCCGCAACTGAGAGACGTGCTGATCATGCAGTCCAACGGCGGGGTGGCGCCGATAGCCGACTCCAGCCGCATGGCGGTGCGGGCGATCCTGTCCGGCCCGGCGGGAGGCGTCAGCGCCGCCGCGTACATCGGGCAGTTGCTCGAAGAACCAAGGGTGATTGCCTTCGACATGGGCGGCACCAGCACCGACATTTCGCTGATCGAGAACGGGGTTCCCCACATCACCAACGAGAAGTTCGAGGCCGGATGGAAGATTGCTGCCCCGATGATCGACATCCACACCCTGGGCGCCGGCGGGGCAGCATCGCCAGGGTGGATGCGGGTGGGATTCTCCACGTCGGCCCAGACAGCGCTGGTGCTGATCCCGGGCCCGCGTGCTACGGCAGGGGTGGAGACAAACCCACGGTCACTGACGCCAGCCTTGTCTTGGGTTACCTGGATGCGGCCAATTTCCTGGGAGGCAAGGCCAGTCTCGACCCGGCGGCTGCCGACCGTTCTTTGGCAGAGGAGGTGGCCGCACCGCTCAACCTATCCAATTTCGAGTCTGCGTTCGGAGTGTTCAAGGTGGTCTGCACCACCATCGCCGAGGGCATCAGGCTGATGTCGGTGCAGCGCGGCGTGGACCCACGGGAATTCACCATGATGGGATTCGGCGGCGCCTCGGGCCTCCACGCCTCGGAGGTTGCCCGGCAGCTTCGGGTGGCGAAAGTGTACATACCGGCGTCGGCGCCGGTGTTGTCGGCCTACGGCATGTTGAACACCGACATCAAGTACGATTTCTTCCGGTCATACCCGGTTAGCCTGGACCGGATGGACCTGAACGAGCTACGGTCGATCCTGGACGAACTGGGGCGCAGGGACGGAACAGGCTGTCAGCCCAAGGAGTGGCCGACGAGGCAGTCGAGATTCAGTACTCCGCCGACATGCGGTACCTGGACCAGATCTACGAGGTCACCGTGCCGCTGCCCGACCTGGCCCTGCCGGACCCGGAATTCCTTGCCAGATTGACGTCAAATTTCCATCGGAGATACGAGGAGCTCTACTCCTACAACCAACAGGACCAGGAGGTGCGGCTGGTCACTCTTCGTGTCGCGGCGGTCGGCAAGCTGCCCAGGATTGCACAGCTTGACCGGACTGGGTACCAGATTGCGGCCAACCCGGCAGGCTCCCGCCGGGTCTATATGGGCGAGTGGCGGGAGGCGCCAACCTATGCAGCTGACTCCCTGCCTGCTGGAGCGGAAATCGCTGGGCCAGCGATACTGGAGTCGGACTTCACCACCATCCTGGTGTGGCCCGGTGACCTTGCCACGGTAGATTCCATGGGAGGCGTTGAGCTGCGAGTGAACCTGGGGGACACTCCGGCCGCGCAGGATGCGGCAGCCGACTCTGCCGGAGCAAATAGTCGGGACAGCGCAGCGCATGACGACCCCATCACCCTGGCGGTGGTGGAGCACCGGCTGGAATCCATCGCCCAGGAAATGACCGAGGCAATGCTGCGGACGGCCATGTCCCAGATCCTCAATTCCAGCCGGGACTTTTCCACGGCGATCCTGGATGACGACTGCCAGTTGGTAGCCCAGGGCGAGGGCATCCCGGTACACATCAGCGCACTGCCCGTGGCGGGAGCTGCGGTTCGGGACTACTTCGGGGATGACATATCCGACGGAGACCTGTTCATCCTGAACGACCCCTATTTCGGGGGCAGCCACCTGCCGGACATCACCATCATCCGGCCCGTTTTTCACGATGGACGGCTGCTGTTCTACGGGGTGAACCGAGCGCACCACAGCGACGTTGGGGGTGGCACCCACGGGGGTTACAACCCCGGCGCCAACGAGATATACCAGGAGGGTATTCGCATCCCTCCCTTGAAACTCTATGACCAGGGCGTACCGCGCAACGATCTGCTCCAGATGCTGTCGGCCAATGTCAGGCAGCCGGAGAATTTCCTGGGCGATCTGAACGCGCAGATAGGTTCGGTGATGCTGGCGGCCCAGAGAATCGAGTCCCTGCTCGCCGACTATGGCCCTGACCGGCTGATGGCGGTGGTGTCCGAAATCCTGGCCGCCACCGAGAGGCAGGTGCGCCAATTCATTTCCGGATGGCCCGACGGCGTGTACCACGGGGAGTCCTTTGTGGACGACGACGGGTTCGACAGCAAGCTGGTGCCAATCCGAGCGAAGGTCACCATTGCCGGCGACTCCTTGACCATCGATCTGAGCGATTCCAGTCCCCAGGTCGAGGGCTTCATCAACAGCGCTTACGCCAACACCCGATCGCTGGCCCACGCCGCGATCATGTATCTCGCGCCGATGGACGTCGCGCGGAACGAGGGCTCAATGCGGCCCGTCCAGATCATCGCCCCGCGGGGCCTCGTCGTGAAAGCGAACCCGCCCGCACCGGTATGCATGAGCACCAACCACTGCGCCGAGGAAGTGGTTGAGGCGGTGTTCAAAGCCCTGGCCCCCGCCATTCCCAGTGCGGTGTCCGCGGGATTTTCCCGCCGGTTGCGTTACGCCATCACAGGCGCCGACCCGAGGACGGGACGCACGTTCATCTGGCACTTCTTCCTGGCCAGGGGCGGCGGTGGTGCCTCCGAGGGCTTTGACGGGTGGTCCAACGTTGGCGAGGTCAACGTGGCCGGAGGGATACGGTCGCCCAGCATTGAGGTGACGGAGGAGCGATTCCCGTTCTTCATCGAGCGGCACGAGCTGCGACCCGATTCGGGAGGCGTCGGCGCGTGGCGCGGCGGCCTGGGAGCAGTGTGCGATTTGGTGTACGAGGGCGAGGGCCCCGCGCTGCTCAACACCGCTGGCGACGGCGTGGTTGTGCCGCCTTCGGGCTGTTCGGCGCGACCGACGGCATGCCGCACCACTACACGGTTGTTTCCAACGGCTCGGAGCGGGTGCTGGGTTCGAAAGAGGTGGGGGTCGTCGTCAATCCCGGCGACCACATCGTCTGCCTTTCGTCCGGCGGCGGCGGTTACGGCCAGCCCGAACAGCGGGACGAAGCCGCAGCGAAGTGGGACCTGAGGAACGGTTATGTGACCGGGTAAGGAATCAGGGCGGCGAGCCTGACCCCCTAGTAGTCCGACTGCTTAGAAATGATGACACGAAAAGTATGCGCCTTGGCGGAGATCACCATTGGCCAAGTTCCGCCGGTGCTCACACCAATACCGGCTACTCCTCATTTCAAAGATTTCGTGCTACTAGCCCCAGGTGGCGAACCCCATGGCACAGCCGGTGCCAGCGGGCGAGCGGTAACAGGGCACGTAGTCCACAACCTGCATATCCAGGTGCTCCGTGGCGCCGGCCACCACGATCCAGTTCCGGATCTCTGAACTGCCAGAGTTGATCTTCTCTCGGGACAACGCCGAAAGCTGCTCCACGCTCTTGGCCTGCATTCCCGCCAGCGCCTGCTGGTCCAACTCCTCGTCCACCACGAAATGGCTCAGGCCGCCGGACGCAAGGATGCCCACCCGGATGTCGCTGGGCCAGGATTCGATGGCCGAGCGCAAGGCCCTTCCCAAGTTGTAGCATCGCTTGGGCGTTGGCTGGTTGGGTGAGTAGTAGGTGTTGAGCATTACGGGGACGGTGGGGATTAGAGCGCCCGTCATCAGCCGGTTGTATACATACCCGAAGGCGTGGCCGATGCCTCCCATGGCCCGGCCGCCCTTGCTGGTATCGAGGAACCTGGAACTGCCCACGTCGAATTCGGCATCCATCAAACTGCCTATGATATGCAGCCCGAGCTCAGAATCTGTGGGAGCGTGAACGTCCTCTGTCCTGTAGCCGATCAGCGGCTGGTTTCCCGTGGAGGGACCGGCCTCGTGGCCAGCGACCTTAACCTCGTTGCCCCAGTAAACACAGAAGGCGGGCATGTTGTCGTCCAGCAGGTACTCGTGCTGGTCATCGCCGACCATGACAAGCAGGTCTAGTTTCGCGTCGTACAACCTCTTGGACAGGTGGGCGATGGCCTTCTGGTTCTGGTCGTGCCGTTTCTCAAACTTGGCCGGGGTGATCTCCTTGGCGATGCGTGCTGTGTCGGCCCGATTCAGCAGGTCTTCGTAGCCTGAAGTTACGCCGTCAGTACCGATCAGCTCGGGATTGCCCTTGTCACGCTCGCCGCGGCCGGCCCAGCCATCCGGAGGGGTGCTCAGTTGTGGGCTATGGGAAGAAGCCAGGCCCAACACCAGTTCAGCCATCGTCCTGCTCCTTGGTTTCGCAATTCACGCATTTTTCAAGTCGAATGTTATAAGGTTCCCTGCGTGCTGAAAGTACCGCGCATTGTAACGGATTGGCCGACGTCAGAGCCGAATGTCTCGTCAGGGGTCGCGGTGTCGTCGTAGTAGTCGGCAACTTGCTGCTTGCCACATTCCGCACGTCGATTACAATTGGCGACGTTGCAGAACTGATTGGGTTTTAAATTTGCACACCGAATTTAGGAGGTGCGGTCTCATGCCGGAGATAGAGAACAAGCTGAAGGAACTTGGCTACGAGCTGCCGCCGCCCCGGGCACCAGGCGCCGGCAACATTGTCCCCTTTGTGAGGACCGGCAACCTGGTCTACCTGTCGGGCACCGGCCCGGGTCTGCCCGGCGGCGGTCTGCTGCACGTGGGCAAACTGGGCGGAGAGGTGACGGTAGAGCAGGGCTACGACTGCGCCCGCCAGACCATGCTGAACCTGCTCACAAACCTCAAGGCGGCTATCGGCGACCTGGACAAGGTCAGCAGGATCGTCAAGCTGCTGGCCATGGTCAACTCCACGCCCGACTTTGGCGACACGCCGCTGGTCGCCAATGGCGCATCCGACCTGCTCATCAACGTCTACGGCGAACGGGGACGACACGCCAGGTCCGCCGTTGGCATGGCCACACTGCCAGGCGGTATGCCCATAGAGATCGAAATGATCGTCGAGGTCGAGGACTAAGGTCCCGGCGCGAGGGTCTTCCAGGAGTTCTCTCCCCCTCAAGGGAGAGGGAGAATCAAGTGGGCCGACGGCCCCAAGGCGGAGCACTACGCAATCCGATCCCGTGAAAGGTGGACGGCAATGGCACTTGGAGACAAATTCGGAGTCCTGCTGCCCACAAGGGGTGTGCTGGTGTACGCCGGGAGCAACGGCCCACGGGTGGAACAAACCTGGCAGATGGCCGAGACAGCCGAGCGGGCCGGTTATGACTCTGTCTGGGTCGGCGACAGCATCACCTCCAAGCCCCGCATGGAGCCGCTGACGGCCATGGCCGCCGTCGCTGCCCGTACCAACCGGGTCAAGGTCGGCACCGCGGTCCTGCTCAACGCCCTGCGCCATCCCGTCCACCTCGCCCACGCCGCGGCCACCATCGACAACATCTCCGGCGGGCGCACCATCCTGGGCCTGGGCGCGGGTCGGGGCAACAACCAGATGTTCGTCGCCGAGCACGCCGCCGTGGGAGTTCCGATAACCGAGCGCGCCTCCCGGATGGAGGAGAGTATCCGGGTAATGCGAGCCCTGTGGACGGGAGAGCCGATCACCAACGCCGGAGAGTTCTATCCCCTTGAGGACGTCGAGCTTGAACCCCGGCCCGTCCAGCCGTCCATCCCCCTCTGGATTTCCAGCAACTGGGTGCGCCGCGGTCTGTCCAGGGTTGCCGAGCACGGAGACGCCTGGATAACCAACGTTCCCACGGTCGAGCTGTTCGACCAGTGCTGGGAAAGAATCGAGCAGTGCGCGGGCGAATTTGGCCGCGACCCGGCAGGCATTGGCCGCTGCCTGTATGTCTCAGTCAACCTGAACGACGATGCCGACGCCGCCCCTGACCGAGGGTGACCAGTACATGCAGGCCTACTACAGCATCCCCTACGACGTTATCAGCAAGAACCTTCTGTGCGTGTTCGGCACCACCCAGAAGTGCATCGACACCATACGGGCATACAAGGGAAGCGGCGCCGACTACTTTATAGTCAGGTTCGCCTCCCCGAACCAGATGCACCAGATGGCCCGGTTCACTGAGGAAGTCCTGCCCTTCGTCTCATGAGGGCTTGCCCTGTACAGCACGCAGGCGTCGGAAACGGCGCAGCCTTTAGCCGATGCGTTCGGTGTACTCAGCCCGCGCGGTCTCCACCAGCGTCGCATCGCGCAGCAGGTCGCTGGCCGTCAGGCTAAGGGCCTTGGCCACCAGCAGGGCGTTGGACAGGGCAAGGTCGGTAATCGCCGTCTCCTGCATTTGCCTAGTATGCGAGGGCACCGGGGTCTCGCTGACAGCGTACCGCAGTTCGAACGCTGGCATGGCCTGGCTGACGTTGCCGAAATCGGTCGAGGCTCCGCTCCCCGGGCGGCCAGGTATCGGCTCATCCAGCTTAATTCCCAGCGCCTTTGCGTTGGCTCCCACCGCCTGGGCCAAAGTCACGTTTGGGCTGGACGTTTTCGTAGAAGGGATAGAACTCCTCGACCTCGAGGCGGGCGCCTGTCATGTAAGCCGCACCTTCCGCCACATGTCTTACCTTACCCACCACCTCGTCGCTCAGGTATCGTCCATCCCTTGAGCGCAGCATGAAGTTGGCGGCGGCAAACTCGGGCACCACGTTGGGCGCAGTGCCCCCGTCGGTGATGACCCCGTGAATGCGTACGTCGTCCCGCAGGTGCTGGCGCAGGGCATCGATCCCAGTGAACAGGTGGATGACCGCGTTCAATGCGTTGATGCCGGCCTCCGGGGCCGCGGCGGCGTGGGCAGCCTGGCCGTGGTACATGTACCGGTAACCGACCATGGCCAAGCTCCAACTCTCTCCCTTCGGAGCTGCCCCTGGAATGATTGTACGGTTGGAAAACGGATGGGACGACAGGGTGGCATCCACACCCTCGAACATACCCGCTTCCAGCAGTCGTATCTTTCCGCCGCCTCCCTCCTCCGCCGGCGTTCCGATGACTACCACGCGGCCGGGCAGGTCCTGCGCGTTGGCCCGCAGACCCAGCGCGGCACCCATTGCGGCCATGGCGATGAGATTGTGCCCACATCCGTGGCCGATCTCGGGCAGCGCGTCGTATTCCGCCAGCACCGCGATGGTCGGACCCTCGCCACCACCACCAGGAATGATGGCCCGGAACGCCGTGTCAATTCCCCCGATGCCCCGCTCGACCGACAGGCCATTCCCTTCCAGGAATCCAGCGAGTGCCGCAGAGGAGTAATGTTCTTGGTAGTTCAGTTCCGGATGTGCGTGCACGTCCCTCGAAAGGTCGAACAACGCCTGCTTTGAGGACTCGATAGCTGAGTTGGAGCGGCCGGCCAGCTCGTCCTTTGCTCCGGCATTCTGATCGGTCATGTTTGGCCCTCTCTTTCCCGGAGAATGGGGGGTCGCATTATCTCCAGTTGTAGCCTGGGTATTCTACCCGTGTTCCCCACAGTGGCGCCACGCGCCCCGCATCGTGACCCAGGGCGATTGCAAAGTCAGGGGGGGGTGGCCGCGGAGGCGGGCGATGGTCTGGGTTGGGCGGAAGGCGCAGGTCCCGGCTCGCGGGGGCATGGACATCCGGAGGGGAAACCATCCTACCGAGCGCAGGGCATTCAGCGCTGTGTTGACCAGGCTGGCGTATACCTCGCCCAGGCCCGGACGGCGCAGCGTGTGGACGTCCTCGTCCCAGCTGCGGTCCTTCACGGGATGCAGGCTGTTCTCAACATCACGCCCGCTTTTTTCTATGCTCTGCGCCTGGGGCTCCACCGGTTCCTCCCTGGCAAATCCCTCTGCCAATGCCGCCAGCACCTGGGCTGGTTCCCCTTGATGCGGAGGAGATGAGAGTGGCAGTGCCTCCTTCGGTTACGGGTGCGAGGGTAGACGGGGGTTTGGATTCCCGCCTGGGCGGGAATGACGACCTATAGGGCCTCCGGCGTTTAAGACGCGATTGCCCTGTTGATTCCGGGGTAATTTCCGGGGCCATTGGACCGTTCGACAGGGTTCTGAAGGCGTTCAGATCTCAGCGGGGGCATCGTAGGAAAAGACGTTCCAGATGATGCTCCGCCTGTAGGCCATTGGCAGGAGAACCTTGATCATATCCTGCAGATCCGGCTCCTCACTCTTTTCGCATTGGCGCTCGAGGTGGGCTCGCAGATAGCCAAAGGTGCTGAAGTACAGGCCCTTGCTCGCGATCTTCTGAATGAGGGAATGAGGGAATGAGGGTCAGGGAGAGACTTCCTCTCGACGGTGGCGACTTGCCACTGCCAGCAGAACTCCTCGACCAGAGGCCGGAGCCTTACGACGGCAAGGGGCAGCGCGAGCTTGCGCTCGAGGGACTCGATGCGGTTGCGGATGCGGCTGAATGACATGGTTGCTCCTGTTGACGGGTCGCAAATTTTTCGTTTTTCCCGCTCACTTCCTCTCATTTCCGCTCATTTTGGCGCTGTGGGAGGGAGCGAGGGAGGTGGCCACGGCGAGCACGGTGCAACGGCCTAAAACTGGGGGTTTGTTCTCTTGTCAGCAAGGGCCTCAGTGGCCGTCCCTGATTGGCCCGGCCGCCGCCGGCCGTCGGATTAAGGGCGGGACTGTTTATAATAGTACATGAGTTCTATTTGGTTGGCAAGGGAGTGGGGGTCAGGGCAATCGCGTCTTATTACTCAGCACACAAAATTGGTCTGAATGGCGGTGGAGATGGGAGTGGGAGTGGCTGTGCCTCCTTCGGTTCCGGGTGCGAGGGTAGACGGGGGTTTGGATTCCCGCCTGCGCGAGAATGACGACTTATAGGGCCTCCGGCGTTTAAGACGCGATTGCCCTGGGGGGTGTCTGAATCAGGATTTACAGGATTTTGGGATTTTCAGGATGCTCTTCGATTTGGCCGATGCGTTGTTCCGGTTGGGCTTGATTCTGACTAGATTGAATTCGAGAGGCTTTGGATCGTCCTGGATCGTGACCAAGGTCATTCGATTGTCGTTTCCTTTAGACAACCACCTGTCATTCTGAGCAGATTCAGGAATCTCAGCTTTACCGTCGAGACCATTCGCCTCGCCCAGGGTGGGAATCTAGGGGACTCCTCGATCGTCATGGACTAGTGACAGAGTTCGCCTGCCAAGTCTCATTACACCCCGATCTTTTACAATCAACGGTTCGAGCAGTGGCCTTATTTGCCTGCCCAGACCACGCAGCATCCTGCCCGGTGCTGGACGAATGCCCCAGAGGCATACCCAGCCCGACCGCAATGGAAGGGGTAAATTCAGTCCCACCGAAACTGGGAAATCAGCCTGGCAGCACCGGCGCAATTCTCGCGACAGTTGCTGGCATCAGTGCCGCTACTCCGGCGGAAGTCGCAGAGGCAGCACCGGCCGTGTTGGAAGCCTCATGCAGCAATAGAGTGGCCGACACGCCCACCTTTTGTGGGGCAACTGGCCTTGAAGTTAAATCGGCTGTTGTCACTGCGGCCACTGTATGCGGCCGAGCAGGACGCGGATCAGACTCGATTTCCAGCAGGTGCCCTATGTTGACGCAAGAACTGTCCTGTTCCTTTAACTTCGGAATGGAGAGTTCAGTTGTGTCGGCCGCATCGCTGAAAACTAACCCCGCCAGGAAGGGAGAGGCGGCTTCGCTAAGTTGCCAGCTTGCGCCCTGATGCAGACTTTACCTAGCTGCTTTGTTTGGCGAAGGTTCCCCGGTTTTTAGGAATGCCATTGCCGTCCAGGAAAATTAGCTGGACGACGCTGCGCCAATCCCGGAACACCCAAGGTTGGAGGGGAATGAATATCTCGGGGAGTGAGTGCAGTCCTGTTTAGCCACTGCCATTGCAAGAGCCGACAGCACAAGCACAATCCACTGCTCACTCCCGGCCATTGCCCAGGGGTTCAGCGGCAGACCGGATGTATTTCGGGGGTCGCCCTGTACGAGGCTAATGGCCGTGCTGGGCCAGTTCTATCAAGACACCCCGCGCCGCCGACGGGTGCATGAACCCGATGTCGCCTCCCATAAGCCCTGTGCGGGGCACCTTGTCGATCAGGCGTACACCCAACTCATCCAGCGTCTTGAGCTTGTCGGCGATCTCCTCCACCTCGAAGCAGACGTGGTGCAGCCCTTCACCCCGGTTCGCGATGTGAGTGGTAATCAGGCTGTCCGGGCTGGTTCCTTCCAGAAGCTCCAGGTTGGTCTCGCCAACGGGCACGAAGCACCCGCGCACGCCGATATCCTCCCGGACGATGACCTTGCCTGGCTTGAATCCAAACAGGCCACGGTAAAACTCGATGCTCTCGTCGAGGCTGGATACGGCAATTCCGATGTGATGCACCAGGTCTGTGGCGACCGGTGGCGTTCCGGGCAGCGTCATTTCAGGTCTCCTGAACAGGTAATTCTGTGTTTCCGAAAAGGTGGATATGAACAGCCGATGAACTTTCTAATATGTGGACTTCCGCCCCTCCAGGTTTGTGTGGATGTCCAGCAGCACGGTGCGTCCGTCGCGGTTCAGTTGCTGCGCTCTGACCAGGGCCGGGGCGATCTCCGACGGCTGGGTCACCGTAATGCCAACGGCGCCCATTCCCTCGGCGATCATGGCATAGTTGCCTCCCATGCGCGTCAGCCCGAACAGCTCGTTGGCAACCGGATACCCACCAGGATAGGTCGCCATGCCGCCGTTGTTCAGCACCACGGTCGTGATAGGCGCTCCGGAGCGCACAGATGTCTCGATGTCCAGCCCCGACATACCAAACGCCCCGTCGCCCATGAAGTTCAGGCAGAACCGGTCAGGCTCGGCCAGCTTGGCGCCAATCATGAGGGGAATGCCGTAGCCCAGGTGGGTCGACTTGCCCCATCCGATGTAACTGTGGGGCGTTGTGGCGGTGTAGAAGGGCAAGATGGTATCCCTCGGCGCGCCGGCGTCGTGGGTTACCACGCTGTTTTCCCTGTCCAGGTTGCGATCGATTTCGTTGATCACCCGGTAGGTGCCAATCGGGACCTCGTCGGTCTCCAGCAGGGGCGTCCATTCCGCCAGCCAGCCCTTCCGGATCTCCGCGATTTCCTCTGCGACTCCGTTGGCGGCACGGCCTCCTGCGCCGATCTGGCCCTTGACCCTCGTCTATCAGCGCCCGCAGGGTCAGCTTGGCATCCCCGGGCAGTCCGACATCAACGGAGAAGTCCTTGTTGATGTCCTCGATACTCTCCACATTGTGGATGATGACCTTGCCGTCGGGTATCGGCTGCCCGTAACTTGTACGCGTCATGCTGGATCCGACCGCAAACAGCACGTCCGACTCCTGGACCCACTTGCGGGGCAGGCAGGGATGTCGCAGCGCTCCCCGCTCCCAGCGACAGCGGATGCCGTTCGTCGAAGGACGACTTGCCGGGCATCGTGGTGTAAACGGGAATCTGGCTCAGCTCCGCCAGTTCCCTCAGTTCCTCGGTCGCCGACGAAAAGAGTACGCCCATCCCTGACCAGATCACCGGTTTGCGGGCATTCAGCAGCAGCCGGGCCGCCTCGGCCACCTCGCCGCGGTGGGGCGACTGCAGCAGGCGCTTGGGGGGGCTGGTAGGCCAGTGCCGAATCAGGAACCTCCTGCCCGCCCACGTCTGCCGGAATTTCCACGATCACCGGGCCGGCCCGGCCGTTGCGCAGGTTGTGGAAGGCCCGTCGCATCGCCGCCGCCACCTGACCCGGTGCCGTGATGACCTCGGCGTGCTTCGACACCGACTGGTAGGAGCGCACCGGAGAGAAGCTGGGCCTAACGGCGTACTGCCCCAAGGCGGGCCCTCCTGCCAGATACAGGATGGGAATATTGTCAGAAAAGGCCTGGGCGATGCCGCCGTGGGAATTCTCGGAGCCCGGTCCGCCCTGCGTGATGGCGACGCCGAACTTGCGGCGGTCGTTCATCCTGCTGTAGCCGTCCGCGGCCATCAATGCTCCTCGCTCCTGACGGAACATGATGGTCCGGATTCCTTCGCTGGCCACCGATTCGATCAGGTTATTGGAGGGAAAGCACGAGACCCACTCCACGCCCTCGGTCTTCAGAATGCGGGCTACCGCATCATTTACGTTCATAGTCTGCCGCTCCCGGAATTGTCTTTGTGCGCTATTCTAACACCGCCGGGTGTCCTGCCATGCCCTTGCGGAATGGTACCCGCAGCATGGAGTATACTGGGCCGCAATTTGGACACAATCATCGGACAAAGGGAGCTGAAATATGACCAGTCGCGAGGAACTCCGGCGGAAAGGCAACGAGATACGGGAGCGCCTGCAGCACGGCACCTACCCGCCCCGGGAGCGGCCCCGGGCGGTGGCCGGAATCTCCGGGCTCAGGAACTACACCGGAGAGGCGATTTTCGGATCGGTTTGGTCCCGGCCCGGACTGGATATTCGGTACCGAATGCTGGCTACCCTTTCCGTCCTGTCCTCGCTGCAACGCCTCTCCCAGTTTCAGACCTACGTCCACAGCGCGTTGAACATGGGCCTGAGCGCGGAGGAGATTCAGGAGGTGCCCATACACTGCTCCCTCTATGCAGGATTCCCCTCGGCGGTCAACTCGCTGGAGTTGGTCCACGAGGCCTTCCGTGAGAGGGGCATCGAGGTGCCGCAGACAGATGTGCCCGAGGTCAGCCTGGAAGAGTTGGAGCGACGGGGCCGCGAGCTCCGGGAACAGCTGATGGGTACCGAGGACCGGGGAGGCTACGCCAGTGCACTGGTGGACCTCGCGCCGGACATGAGGGTGCTTACCCTCCAGTTCGGTTTTGGGGAGATCTTTTTCCGCCCAGGGCTGGACCTGAAATCCAGGGTGGTTTGCACCACCGCCGCGCTGACGGCTCTGCGGGCCGATGGTCAGCTCCGCAACTTCCTGCAGGCCGGCCTCCGCGTTGGGCTTTCCAAGGAAGAAGTTGTGGAAGTCCTCATGCAGACCGGAGGATACGCCGGCTATCCGGCAGCACTGAACGCGATATCCATCGCGGCCCAAGTCTGGGACTAGGACAGAGCCTTGGGGTCGGAAACTTCTCCGACCCCTGCGTGTTCTTTCTCGACAATCCTTCGACCAGGGCAGTTGAGTGCGGTCAGACGGCCCGCTCGTCCGGCGTCTAGAGCATCCCGTGGGCCCAAGGTTGGGACTTGGCCATGTCGCGGGCGTCTTTCGCGGTGGTGATCGGGGCCAGGCAGCGTTCCCCCATGCAGACGTACAACGCAGCCTCTCTTCGAGTGGGAAAACCCAGTTCGCGTATCCGTCCGGCGTCTCGCTCCCAGTCCAACGGCTGCACGACCCGATGGGGAACGTATGACTGCAGTGCCGCCCGGTGCAGTTGGCGGTAGGACGCGTTGGAGGAATCTCCGACCAGCACCAGGCTCACCGGCCCTTGTGCCAGCATGGCCTGCGCACGTCCCCAAGCGGAGCCCGCCGGCAGGAACAGAGCCTCTTCATCCTCCTCCATCCGGCGTGATGCGTGGCTGCCCAGGTAGCTCTTGCCCGGCACCACCGACTCAAAGACCCCCAGGGCTGCGGCAGCCCGGTCTGAATACCGCGAGTCATCGGCCAGATACGAGAGGGCCATCAGCGCCTCCGCCAAGCAGCTGTTGTCCAGCACCGGCTGTTCCCTGGGCAGGAACGCCGCCTCGAATGACTGCGGTGAGATCGTGTCGTAGCACCCGCCGTCGGGCGCGCCGAACAGTCGCTCAACCGTTTCGGCAATTTCGACAGACCGTTCCAGGCACTCCGCACGGCCCGTCGACTGGAACAGCGCCAGCCAGGCCCGCAGGAAATACACTTGGTCGGCCAGGACAGGCGTGTTGTCCCCAGACTCCCCTGCGCGTCGACTCAACCCTCCGGTGGAACTCCAGCTCTCCCACCACAGCTTTTCCAGGACGTTGGTTGCCAATCGCATGTGGGCGGAACCGCCGAAAACATTACTGGTCTGGATCAGGGCGAGCGCGGCCAAGGCGTTCCATCCCGCGTAAAAGGTGCGGTCTACGGGAGGTGGCTCGTTGGCGTCGCGGTTCTTCCAAGACATCTGGTAAAAGGGCTCGTCCGCGTCCTGACTGGCAAAGAACAGCCCTTCTTCCGGGCAGTACAGGGTGTTCTGCAGGTACAGCAGGATGCCATCGATGGCTTCCCTGTACAAGGATTTCCTCGTGATCTGGAATGCTTCGAGATACACCATTGCCAGGCTGGCGTTGCTGACCAACATTTTTTCGTAGTGCGGCACCTTCCAGTCACGGCTTACTGAGTAGCGGAAGAATCCCTGGTCATTCCGGTCGTAGATGCCGTGCCACATTCCCTTCAAAGTTTTCTCGACCATACCCAGTACGGCCCGGTCGCCGGTCAGCCCGTAACGCGCTGTGAGAAAGTGCAGCGCATCCCACGGGGGCTGTTTGGGCTCCACGCCGAATCCGCCGAACTCCGAGTCGTACAGTTCATTCAGCCGCTCCAACACCGCATCGACCGATGCGCTGGTCCGCCTGGCCGGCACAGAGCGGTCATCGGTGCGCCCATTCCCAGCAGCGACCTCACCGCTGGATACCTGTTCCAATAGCGCGACCATTTCATCCGGAGGGGTGTAAGGCCTACCTGCGAGAAATTCGCCTTCCCCCGTCAAAAGGGCCACCGAGGGGAACCCTCCCTGGTTGTAGCGCAGGGATATGTCGGGGCGCTGGTCCACGTCGACGCGTACCGGGATGAACCTGGAGTTGACAAGCTCAATGACCCGTTCGTCGGAGTAGGACGTTTCGTCCATTACGTGGCACCAGTGGCACCAGGTTGCCCCCAGTGTCAACAGCACCGGCTTTCCCTCCGACCTGGCAGCCTCGAAGGCCAATTCATTCCAGTCCCGCCAGGAAATGGCGGTCGCGACGCGAGGCTGGCTCATCCTGTCAACTCTCGTTCTCGGGCAGGATCCAGTTGCCCGAAGATGGTTCATACAGACGCAAGTTCGTCCACGGGGTGCAGTTTAGACTCTCACGGACCTCTTTAACAGACAGTTGCCGGGCGAGGATAGGGTTGCGTGCCAGGTGGCCAAATCACCATTCCGGCCGCGAGTCTTGCCCGTGAGCGTCCTTGGCACACGGCCATGAATTCCGACCGCAGTGTATGACGGCATCGCTGCTGGAAGAGTCGGAGAGTGCGCATTTTTGTGCATTTTCGGGGCTTTGGGGGTGTTGGAGAGGAACCGGGCCCGGGGTTGAGGTCGGGACTCGAAAAGTGGGTATGGATCCGCTCGACGCGTAGGTTGCGGTTTGGTGTACCTGGCTTCTGGGTCCGCTGTATTCGATGGTAGATAAGTGTCATGAGGCTTGGCAAGGGGCTTCTGTCAGGAATCAGGAGGGGGAGACTCAAGATGCGAGAAAGGAATGTTGAGATG